CATATATAAGGATTCACACGTGGTTGTGGGCTCATTCCTGCACCAACCGCCCTGGCTTGACGGCACTTTGTTCCACTTGATTTTCGTTCTCTTCACTTATTGCGTTCTGAATTTCTTTTGGAAGTCATCGTTGCTGAAAACACAACTCATCTGTGGGAATCGTTATTCATTAACTGCCAAATTTTGATATGCGACACATACGACATATCACCTTGAGATGCTTATAGCAAGTGCAAGTAAAACACCTTTTAATTAAGGTGTTTTACCTGCTCCCACATTTGGTAGCCTTGCATTTTCGGCCGTATTTTGCCCTTGCATTTTAGGCTGTATTTTTCCCTTGCATTTAGGCTACATGTATATTTTGCCATTGCATTTTAGGCTGTATTTTGCCTTTTGCATCCAGGCTTCATTTTGCCTTTGTATTTTAAGTGTATTTTGCCCTTGCATTTTGGCCGTACATTGCCTTTTTGCATCGCAACCTATTATTGTTCAAACCACAGATATTTCATAAGCACATTGAAGTTGGACAAATTTCTGACTTCTCACTCCTGATTTATTATTATATTAAGTATGTGAAGTGATTTAATTAATGTTTGTGGTCTCACTAAAATCTCTTGCGATTCACTGGAACTTCACGAGCCTGTTGGCTCTTCATTGTTGACTTAGCTTTTTTTTCTTCTTTTTTTTACCACTTGGTTACACTAAGACTGCGCCAAATATACTGAAAATTCCAGTAATTAAAGTAAAAAAACCATCTACAATGTACCCTATTTTCAAATGGCATGCAATTGAAAGCAGAATTTTATTTTTTGGTCTTATTGATCATCGACCAAATATCAGAATAGCATATTTTTCAATTCAAATATTTGAAAAATGTTTGGCGGTCTCGCGAACATGCTGGAAAAAGCTCTTACATGTAGTTGTGTGGTTTGATTGTTTGTCAAATGTCACACTTTTGTTGGAAGCCATTACAGCGCATGATTTGAGCGTCTTCAAGAGGAAGATTAGCTCCAATTTCTTGTTTAAAATCAGTCAAATATCAGCCACCACCAGATTTACTTTTCCATTCAAGAAAACTGGCAAAGGTTTTCTCAAATCAAACATCTTTTTCTTGAAGTCAAACTCTGTTTGAGCGAAAAATTAATATACAAAGTGAATGAATCAGCTTGTCTTTTATTTGATAGGTTAAAAAGAATTTGTAATGCAACTGTAATGATGTGAATACGATGTTTTTTAAAAAAGTACAAAATTATTTGTGTGATGTGAATAACCCACTTGCACTTGTACTACATTGTATTACATTTTATGTAATCCATGTAGGGTGGTTTCAGACAGTACAGGGAATAATCTGTTAATATTAAGCCACAACGTGACTCTTTTGGACTACAGCACACATTAATTTGTCAATTACTTAATCGTCAGCAAAGTCATTAATCTTCAAACTACTCAGCATGGCGCAATTACTGCATTAATGAATAACAGGGTTTTTTGCCCAGGGGATTCACCACTGTAGTGCACTCATTTATTTTTTATTCCATCACATCAAAAGAAAATCCTAAATTGCTAGGCCAAAAAACGTGCCTGGTAAATTCATAATTTGATGGGAACCAGTCTTAAGTAATTTATAACACTTCACTAACAGATGCTGTATTTTGATTGGCCGAGAGGGAGTTTATGGCCTTAGCTATTTTTACTTTCTTACAGTGCACAGCCAAAAATTATATGCAACGGCTACCTCAGTCTGAAAAATACTACAGGTATTGGCATAGAAATCACCATAGCAACTGTCTCTGTGCTCGGTGCATTGCGCGTGTTGTTCCCAGTCGCTACAGAGTTGGGTTCAAACATTTCATGACGGGGCAGTTTTGAAATGCAGGTGAAGTTTCAACTAACTTCTAATGAAATGGCAGTCATTTTCATTGGACTTGGGTAACTCTAACATCAAGCAGAATCTGTAGTTGAGGCATTATACAACAATTATTGACTGCTTTACTGTTACTCATTTGGTAAAACTAGCCTCCCTCAGTGATCCATGGAGCATTCCATTTTCCTCGGCTATGACTTGGCAAAACAGAACACTTCACTTATTGCCTCTGAAGGCTGGTTTCACCACACCGCTTAAGTAATCAATATTGGTTTGATAGGTCACCTTCCTTTTAATAAGTTCCTCGCAAGTTCAAATATCGGCAGCGCGTCCAAAACCAAACACATCAGAAGGCTGGTTTCATCACACCGCTTAAGTAATCAAAATTGGTTAAATAGGTCACCTTCCTTTTAATAAGTTCTTCGCAAGTTCAATCATCAGCAAAGCGTCCAAATCCGTGTACATGTGGAACCGGCCAACCGATCCCATTAGCTCGGTGGTCGAGTGGTAAGACATCTGCACTAGAAAGCAGGAGGTCGTGGGTTCGAGTACCACCCGAGTGATTTTTTTCCAACTTTCACTCGGGAGGTAACACACTGAGTATACAGTGTTTAAGAACGTCGGTGAAGGGCAAAACCTAATTTGAATAATATCACCCCGGCGCCAAAAAAACAAAAACAAAAAAAACAACAAAAATTCCATCTTATAACAAATCCGTGTAGCTAAGCTCATCTTCCTGGCCTGTAAAACATGCTCATGTAACATCTCTTTTGCAAGAATTCTACTGGCTCCTTGTCCGACCAACCAATAAAATTCTGAATATTGCTAGTAAGAGTCTCCAAAATGAACCCTCCGCATATGTTGATGCACTTATCACAAATGATCTATCCTCTAAATCATGTCTTTGTAAGACACCATCCCCAAAATGTATACTTCAGCTGCGGACAAAGCTTTGTCGTAATTTGGTCCTGAATTAGGGAATAAGAAGGCTCTAAAAACTCACCTGCTTGAGAAAATAATTTTTCTGTTGCTCCATTGTTTTTATTTTAATTTTGTAAAGTGCTGTGAAACCAAGTCTTGTGTGAGAGCACTACACATGTACATATAAATGATTGTATTTTATGTGCTCAACTAATTCTTAGCACACATTTGTTGGCAACACAACAAATGGATCGTTTCCATTATACTGTGGGCTGTCTGAATTTTCTTTGTGTTTACATTTGTGGTTCATGCCAATTATAGACTAATTTTAATTACATTCTCCGTATGCCCTGTCAGTCATGTTTGTTTGTGTCTGTCTTTTATGGTTTGTTAAATACTTTGATTGTCTGTCTTTTATGTATTGTTAAATATCTTGATTGAATTGTATGTGCTCGACGTATTCTTAGTACACATTTGTTAGCAACTCAACAAACAGGTCATTTCCATTATACCGTATGCCGACTGAAACTTCTTTACATTTACATTTTGTAGTTCATGCCATTTATGGACTAATTTTAATTACATGTAACCCTGTTTGCCCTGTCAGTCATTTTGGTTTGTGTCTGTCTTTTATGTTTTTTTATGTCTTTTTTGTTCAATATATTGTTACCCTCAACTAATGCCAAGGGACGTTTTGAGTGTAAGTTTCGTTCCTGTTGTATTATTCCTGTGTACATGTATGTGCACTGGGACCTGTAACTTCAAGCTCTATCTTCAAATTCTGACGAAACTGCTTAAACCGATGTACTTTTTACATGTATGTAACAATAACGTATTACACGCTTTAGATTCTGAAGTTCAATAAGTATGGCTTTACAGCAATGCACATCTGTATTAAACTGCACTGCTGGCACCTGCTTTTTAAGTTAGTAACAAATGCACAGCATTTCATTTCACATCAAGGTATATAGACTAACAATGATTGTACAAAGTTGAAACTACTCTCATCACTTTCTGGAGCAGAATTTCTATGTGTCTAAATAAACTAAATGAAAACAAGTTTATTCTGAAGAACTGATTTATACATTAATAGAATTCAAAAGGAAAAGCCACAACGCAAACACCTGCAAAGTTTACAGCACTGTGATAAACTTGCATCAGAGCTCCATATTTGGCAAGTCGTATTCAATAGTGCCCTGTCTCTTTTTATACCAAAACATAAACACAAGCTCACTTGGATATATCTCGGAAGCTGTGGGGCCAACAAAGTCATGTTCATGCATGAGTCATGTGAATGTGTTATGTAATCTCTGGAAGGAGTAGTGCTTTCAGTAAAACAAGAATCAGCTTTTTGACCCCATTGACCCCATGGAGATCTTTGACCCCTGATTGGTCATGTGACATGGTAGGGATGGGATACTGATACTTTTGACAAAATTTGGTTGAAATCGGTCAAAATATGTAGGAGCACTAGACAATGTCAACCATTGTCAACGTTTGTGTAATTAACTACCGGACTAACGGGGAGACATGATGATTTGTTAAGCTGCTATCCCGCAGGTTAAAAAACAGATTCTAGTGAGATAATCTTAGACACAGGTAGACAAAAAAAACCCAGGACAACGCAAGCCTAGTTAAGCTGATATCAGACCTCATGAAGTTCTATTCCATTGATTCAGAGTGGATTTCACTGGATTCTTTATCCAAATGGCTTACACAATGGGAAAGGTCTAGCTTATTCACTGACGTTACAGGGTAATCCAATTCTTTCAATCCAACTTTTAACCAATGCACTTCTACACACAGATTTAATTTGACTGGGATACCCAACCACACTACCATGTGGTTTCTAGAGTAATCAGACGATTAAGAAAACCTGTCATTCAAGCTTGGTTAGTATTCCGGTTCATCCGACAGGATGATTGCTCATGGCGGACGCTGGCTAGACTCACTGGGATTTAATTGCACAAATACAGGATGTTTGTCTGAGGGGACCGGTGTTTGACTAAGAAATTCTTGGTCAATATTTCACCCCCAGGCTCAACACATTATTTGCCAACGTTGAAAGATGAACTTGTGAAATATGAAAGTATTTTACAAAAAAATATCAGAGTAAACAAAAAATTAATCAAAACTGACTGCACTTTGCAGTATTCCTCAGCGAAGGGAAATCTTTTATAAGAAAAGCGACAGTCAGTCAAGTACAATGAGGACACTACGCTGGCCCTCTGGGACAAGCACATAACGCATAAAACACTGACCTGTAGCAATGTCCGGGCTCGGTCCTTCCTGCTCGTCCAGCTCTCTGATTGGCTGATGCTTTGGATGTCCAGGTGATCTTGAATGACGACACACCTGTCACTTTGTCGTAGTACCTCTTCTTGACCTGGGATTGGAAAACATGTCAACAGTTATCGTGCAAGACTTTAACCATTGCGAAGCAGAAAAGTGTGAAAGTAACAAGCATGGCTTTCAATAGAAATATTTTAATGTCAAAAACAGAACACCAAACATCAAATCACTGAATTCTTGTTTGTCAAAAGAAAAATCAGTTTAAATAAATTATGCCTAAATATGCATGATTTCTTAAAGTGTTATTTTGGTGCATTATTTTATCCCAAATCCAATGTTCCAAAACTTTAAAACTAACAATGAGCTTTAAAAGATGAGGAACGTGCAAAATGGACGATTTTCGAGTAATATGAGGATTATGTAAATTTCTTTTCAAAAATGTTTAGAGGAGGAGGGGAAAGGTCTATTCATATTGTAATCAGCTCAAAAGAGTCTTGCCTGTCTGTCTAATTATACAACTGTAATAGCCAATTAGCTTCTGTACTACATTGTACTACATTGTATTTATTCACTGATTAATGTATAAAACCATGGAGTGCTTGGGCGTATTTCTTTTTATTTAATTTTTTATTTAAGGGGGGAGAGGTACAATTTAAACACTCCTCAAAGAACACATTGAGAGTATGATGAAATATGCAATTCAAGATAAACTAGAAAGAAATTTTGATATTGTAAATTTCTTTTTTTGTTTCTTGTAATATAGGGTGAGTAAAAAAAAAAGGAAACCCAAATGTCAGGCCCATTTCTGTAATGAACTTCTGCAAGTAGTACTTTAAAAATGTAAGCTATAAAATCCCAATAAGCTTTCTTTTAGTACAAGAATCATTCAAATCAATCATGCACTTTGCAAGTTTGAATTTTAAACACAAACACTGTTTTAAAGTTCTTTTCACGGATCACAAAAAAAGTAAGTGTTCTTTCAGTAAAACAAAAACAATTCGCATAGGGATGTGTGTGAATTGTTTGGGCTTAGTTTTGCCCATCCCTTGGCTCTGTGGGGTAATTCTATAAGATAGCACTGCCCGACTCACAACTGACAGTAAGTCAGCAAGTCAATCAGTCTTTGAGATAGGTACAACGAAGACACTAGGTTGGTACCAGCAAAAATTTGTACAAAGGTAGGGTTCTAAGAGGAGCAAAGATAGCTGAAGAAAACAACAAAGACTCAAGAGGAACTGAGAGGGAACAAGACAATCCAGAAGCTTACCCTTCCAGTGTCGACTACATACTTGATGCCTGGGATTGTCAGTGAGGTCTCGGCAACGTTTGTAGCCACGACGCAGAGGCGCGCATCCCCCGGTGGAGCCTTGAAGACCTTAGCCTGTTGATGAGGTGCTAGGAGCGAGTACATGGGCAAGACGTATAGGGGAACATCATCCACGGCTAGATCTTCCTCTGGTAACTAGAAAATTCAATTAAATATCAGAAAATCAATCTAAGGTGACATGGCCAGTTTGGAAGACATAAAGTCGATTCCCCGAATTTTCCATGCAATATCATTCTGGGATTTTCCTCCCACATTTAACTCTTACCCCCAGGCTCAATTCGATTAAGAACCATCCTCCAAACATTTGCACTTCTGTTCAAATGAAGGATACCCACTGCCTCAATCCTTCAAAATCCTCCAACAGACTGTCCTGCCTCTCAAAATGCATTCAGCTCAGCCTCAATCCTCCAAAATCTTCCATAACCGCCTGGAGGACTTTGGAGGATTTAGGTAGGTTAGGGTTTAAACTATTATTTCTTCCTTTTCTACCAGGAGACACTCCTGGAAAGTTGAAAGACTTTCATGGACTATCCTAGAAGTGTACCAAAGTACACTAAATTAAAAAAAGCTAAATTGTCACCCAAAAAAGAGCAGCAACACTGACTTGACTTACGGAACAAGAAAAAAAGGCTTTGCAGGAACTGTCAATGACACTGTGCGGATTGCAGGAGAGTCATTTAAGAGTACATCACGATGGTTTGCATATAGACTTCATGCACAAGTACCCCCTCAACGGTACCAAAGAGAGAGTGAGGGGAGCATTCAAGCGCCATATCTGAGACTGACGCTCAGAATAATTTTCTAGTGACTGAGAAATGAAAATATTTCTTGAAACAAAAATTATTTTGTTAAGTTAAGAAATGTAAGAAAACCATTTTTAGCGGTTAACCTGGCCAATAACAGCCAACCTACCGTTTCATCATCGGATTCAGGGTCTGCAACTTGAAACTCTGACTCTGATTGGTTGTCATCATCATCTTTTTGTTCGTCGACTTCTTCCTCTTCATACGGCTGAACTGAGTAACTAAGGATGACATAAAACGTGGGATATATATAAAAAACAACGTTCACTTGAAAACTTGTCACAAGCAAGATGGGTCATTATATCAATTTTAGGTCCAATTTATTTTTCCTGTACCTGTTATGGATAATTCTGATGCACTCCTTAATGCAGTCATCCTCCAAGAGTGATTATGAATAGCAAACTACCTAGCCAACAAATAAATTGTTTGAAGTCATTCTTAATGATACTTGAATGGCAACTGACAAAGTACCAAGGTAAGAGGGACAGGAAAAATGTCACACTTTGAACCCTAAATTTATAGAATGTACCATGTACATTACACTGTCTTTTGCTGATAGCCTATTGGCCTTGATGGATAATACTTTTATGATCCACTGAGTTATCTTAATGCTTGATTCACATACTTATCCAGACTGATCTTGGGCAGTTTCTGTTTCCGGAAACCCTTCTCGGATTCCTCATCTTCTTTAAGCTTCTCCGCCTCCGTTTCCTCATCAGACACGCCCCCTCCTAGCTCCTTCCTCTTCCCAGATGTCTTCAGTCCTTCGAGCGAATAAATCAAGACTATCACTAAATTGTCACAATTTCAATGTTGCAATCGTAGATTTTCAAATCAAAATTATTTCAAAGTTGTAATTGGTTACATTTTCTTTAAACACAATTTGTTACTTGATAAATTGATTTTTTTTTTAAAGCACAGTACCTATTTGTATTGAGCCCAATTATAATCAATGTAACCTCACAGAGGTCCCGCAACCAAACTTTTCATGAGATGGAATTTTGTGGTGGGCAGATGTAAGTTTATCAAATTTGTCAGCAAAGGGCAAAAACCCAGAGAGGTAATTAGGTCATAGGAGGTCAGCAAGGCACAAATCTCTAAGCCAATCTGTGGCTATAAATCCAAGATTGAGTTGTTGCTTGGCAGCTACATAACAATTGCCTCTTGGCCCAATCTGATGGCTATGGTAATCATACAGTTTTGGGCTTATGACAACCATTCTGTGCTTACATGGTGCTAACCCCGTTAGTAAAAAATGCTTAGTTTCCAGATGTACTCACTTGCAAAAGATTTGATCCCTTGAAATATGCTAGCCATATAAGCACAGAGTTTTTCTGCAGTGCAGTTAGCAGAGATTCCGTGATTACTATGAAGACAGCCATGACATTAGGCTGTGGTATGAACAAAACTTGCTAAGCACCATCAAGGTTTTCTTCCGCTAAGAAAGGAACTCTTAATATCAAACTTTCACCGACATTCAGCAATTTCCTATATAGCAAATTTAAAGTTTTAAGGATTTCTTTTGCTCCACATACCTTGTGTATTTGCGGCCTTGTCTTTTATCTTCTTGTTCCTTGCTCTCAGCTTCCGACACAAGGAGCTGACCTCATTTTGACCTGTCACAAAGACTAGGATGCCACCTGGTGGTAATGTGCGGTGGATCTTCAACACCTGTACGTCAACAATAAATAGATAAATGCAATATACCAAATATTTGTCAGAGCATTTTGGTTATGATGCACCCTCTGGCAAATAGTAAATTACCACAAGTGTTCCTGATGAAGTTTCTACAAAAAATTACAAATTTTCTTTGAAAGATAATCCAAGAGTTGTAATCTAAATCTAAGGCCTAATAAGTCATCACAACTCATCCAGTCTCAAGTCAGGTGCAGCTATTCAAATCAACTGTGACAATGGTAGTTTCTTTGTCATTGCTCATCCCTTGTTATCTGTGGTAACTTGTGATTGACTTGGTTACGGATTTGCTTGTGATTGACTTGTGAAATTACTTGTGATTAACTTGTGAAATTACTTGTGATTGACTTATGATTGGCTTGTGATTGACTTGTGACTGACTTGTGATTGACTTGTGATAAGACTTGTGAATGAGTTGTGATGGACTTGTGTTTTGGCTTGTGATTGAATAGTAACTCAATCACAACGCTTATGATTTACCTTTCTTTCTGCCTCTGCCATGTAGTTTTCCAGCGGTGTTCGCTTGTTGAAGTGGACAGTTACTGGAAACTGTCTGGATTCAACCTACATTCAGCCAATCAAAAAAAAACCATTTGGATAAATATTCAACTTCCTGCCGTGCATTGGTACAGGTAAGTGACTGTTTTACCTGGAATCTTCCTCAATCTACCAAAATCCAATCTCTGTAGAAAGCCGATAACACATTCTGTGTAGTGAACCAAATGTTGGGCATCAAACCCTATAGGCTAGCCTTTACAATCCTGTATCCATCAAAACCCTGCAGAACCTGGATGAACACTTTGATGAATTCAAGTTGAAAAGGGGCTTTTCAAAATCTTTTTGGGCATCAGAGTTAACTTTTCCAGAGAATTCTACAATAACATCATACCTTGATGACCGGTGGGGTGATTTTGAAGAGCCGCTGATTTTCAGTAAAGTCCTCGACTCTCAACGTGGCTGACATGATGATCAACTTCATCTTATTTCCTTTCTGCAGTAAACAAACATTACAAATCAATCTACTATAATTGTCTTAATAATGTGATTGAATCCCCTTTAAAAAAACCCTCAAGTTTAGCAGTTTTTATTGCTGTAAAACCATATACAGTCCCGTCTAGGGTTTAACACACCCTATTACCTTTCACTTGTAAATGCCAATTCACACAGAGCAAATGCAAAGTTAAGAAACCCTCCCTGCAATTCTTGAAGAATTTAATGTGTATAGCGCCCTCTATGAATAATGCACAAAGCCATTGAAGCAAGAGTCTAATAGTTACTGACTTTAAAGGCAGTAGAAAAACACCTTTGTACTCTTCTTTCATTTTTGTGTGTTAAAAATTACCAAATTTGCCTCAACTTTAGAACATGGGTCAATTCATTCCTGCCACTAAAAGTCAAATCACTGATTTGCACTTTGACCTTTGACCTGACCTTGTTTCTGAGGGGTACTATCCTGGACAACAAGCCAATCAGAATGTCCGTGTACACACTTCGCTCATGAGCTTCATCAATGACAATCACAGAATACCTCGTCAACAAGAAATCCTGTTTCAAAATTCAAAAAGTGTAAACAGTTATAAGTATTTGTATAATTTAGTAAAAGCATTTTATATCAGCACTAATAATCAGGGTTCGACCTTAACTTTTTTTTCCACTAACCAGCCGGGCTACTGACACAGACTTTTAACTAGCCCGCGGGCATTTTCACTAGCCCACGTTTTTCTTTTACATAGTGTCTTATAAACAACAATGTGCATAAATGTAAAACGTGTATCCTGAGGCAATCTTGTTTTTAAAACAGATCTAATAATTTTAACCTAAACAAATAATGAAATTAGACACAAATTGATAAAGGTTTGATTTCTGAATTTAATGATTTATTTTTTCATGTCCTTTCACCTTTGCCCTAGCCCAATAATTTTTCACTCGCCAGCCCGGCTACTTAAGGGACAGTTTGACTAGCCCGCTGCTGTTTTGACTAGCATTTGGCTAGCGGGCTACCGCTAAAGTCGAACCCTGCATAATGTTAATGCCGCAAATATCCTAAATTGATTCCTTGTGATGCAAAAACCCAAATTTACAAAGTTTGAGGACGGTAGGTTAAGTGTAGGTTAGGGTTATGGTCATTAAAGATTAGGTTTTTTTTAGTGCAAAAGTCTATTGGAATGTCTCCAAAAGGTACTATTTCCAGTAATAATATATTAACAAACTCCTTTGATACAATGCACATATTTCTCAGTAACAGGTGCCAATATTTAAACAACACCTGAACATCATTACAAGAACTTCCGTTTGTTTTTTTAAATCACCTTTTGAATCTCTTTCAGCAACACCCCATCAGTCATGAATTTGATCTTGGTGTCTTCAGTCACGTTGCCTTGGTAACGGATCATGTACGATACCACACTATTGAGACAAATACAAAAGTGGGACAAGAGTTAAAACTGAAAAGTGACAAATCGGTTTCCTATTTATCAGAAACAATGAAGGGCAAAAGCTAAAATTTAAATTCATATTTGTGATCCAAAAAAATGTGCACTGAAATACCGGTCTTACCTTGTGGAAAGGTAAGACTGGGGGAGTGGGGAGTGTTGCCTAGTGGTTAGGGTTCGTGACTCATGATCAGAGGGTCAGGGGTTCGAATCCAGCTGCTGGTCATATGGTGTGTCCTTGGGCAAGCCACTTCACCCCCACTTGCCTCTCTCCACCCAGGAGTATAAATGGGTACCAGCATTAGCTGGGGAGTAACCTGCGATGGACTGGCATCCCATCCGGGGGGAATGGAAATATTCTCATTCGTTTCATGCTACTGAAACCCAGATGGGCCACATTGGCTCATGACAGTTTTTTCTCTTTTTTTCTTACTTACCCTGTGGAAAGATTCATTTCCATGGCAACTCGTTCTGACATTGTGATTGCTGCAACTCTTCTAGGCTCTGTTATTCCAATAAGGCCATTTCTAGAATAAAACAAAAAATAATAGGTAGAAAAATATTTCAATTTTGAACATTGAGTGGTAATACATGTACATGTACATGTAGATACTAAAAATTACAACTGAATACCCTGTTAATGTGTGTATGACTGACTCACATGGCTGGAACATACAAGTGTATCATTAGCGAGATCCACATGTTGCTGCCAATGTGTGCAGAGCCTAATGGATGGGTCCAATCAACATCAACTTACTCTGCGTAACCCGCCTCGTACAGAAACTGCGGCACTTGAGTTGTCTTGCCACTGCCCGTCTCTCCACTCAAGATGACGACTTGATGATCGTTGATTGCTTCCATGATGACTTGTTCCTCCGCCAGGATGGGAAGGGCTAGTCTAGCGGTCTGAGGACGGAGTGACAACAGATTTTGAAAGATTTTGTAGGATGGTAAGGGTGTAGTCTAGCAACCTCACAATAGACAATAGGTTCTGTATGATATTGTAGGATGGGAAGAGCTAGTCTAAGGGCCCAAACACATAGCAACAATGGGTTTTGAAGGATTTTATAGGATGGGAAGGGCTAGTCTAGCAGCCTCAAGATAGATAATAGGTTTTGTATGATCATTATTGTAGAAATTTGTGGAATGGGAAGGGCTAGTCAGCATCTTGAAGACAGAGCAACAATCGATTTTGTAGGAATTAGTGGGATGGGAAGGTCTACTCTAGTACCCTGAGAAAGGAGTGACAAAAGAGTTTGAAGGATTTTGTAAGATACACAATATGTTTTGAGGGATATTGTGGGATTTTGTAGACTAAGAAGGGCTAAACTAGCAGCCTGAAGACAGTAACAATAGGTTTTTTAAGGATATTGTAGAATTTTGTTGGATGGGAAGGCTGGTCTGGCAGCCTAAAGACAGATGACAACAGGTTTTGTAGGACTTTGAAAGGTTCCACGCACAATGCAAAGGAAATGTTTACCCTAAAAACTTTGAAACTGCTAAAAAGCAACACCTCTTTTTTTTTAAAGCATTTTGAAGGATTCAGGTCTAGGGTCACTTACTTGAACCTCAGGCTTTCTGTCAACATGCACAAACACCGCCGGGTTCCTGTCTTCTGGGGCTATTGTCTTCACAGTCCTCTCCTTCTCGGATGTCTTCTTTAAAGCATCCTTCTCTTTCTTGCCCATCTCTGATGATGATGAGCCTCCAATTACTGGCTCAGATGCTGGAACTTCCACATCCTTGTCTTCAGTTCTCTCTGTTTCCTTTAAGTCTTCACTCTTTTCCTGCTGTTCATTTTCTTCTCCATCGTCTTCATCTTCGTCATCATCTGACTCATCATCGCTTGATTCTGATTCACTCTCCTTAGCAACTTCCATCTCTTCCAGTTTTCTTCTTTTCCGCTTGTTGACCCCTTTGAGACTGTTGACAGAAATGCTCTCCTGGGCTTTATCAGCTGAGTGTCTGAGATACATGTAGGGATGGCAAAGAATAGAATGAGATTGGTGGTGTTAGGGTTTGATAATAATAGTGGATAGAAAGTGGTGGGTTGGATTTTGTATGTTTAGGTTTGGTTGGGTCTGATGAAGTTTGGTGTCAGAGGCGGGGACGGGTGGGGTGGGATGCGGTGGGCATGGTGGGCTGGGTTGAGTTCAGGTGGTTTGTGTCAGGTGGGTTCTTGACTTGGATAGGTTTGGGTTGGGTGGGTTGGGATGGGTTGGGTTGTTTTGGGGTTGGGTTGGAATGGGTTTGGTAGGGTTGGGTGGGTAGGGCTTTGGTTGGGTTGGGATAGGCTGCGCTGGGTGTGTTAGGGTCAGTTTGGGTAGGTCAGAGGAGGGTTAGGGTGGATTGGGTTGAGATCAGATGACAATGCTCAGAAATTGAGCACGTGATCAACTGATTTGCACAGAGTTCCGTGGCATGTTTCAGAATATAGATACTTTATTTGATGGAACTGTCATAATAAAACTCTATACCTCTTTGCAACTTTTTGTCCAAGATGTGCAGTTGAAGCAAACATGGACTGCTCCTGTTGAGATACTTGATGCTTGACAAGCGATGCCAAGATGTCTTCTCTCTGCAAAGAATAAAAAAAGAAGAAAAGAAAAAGTTGTTGCTTCTGATATGTGCCGAGTATACACACAGGTTAACATAAGTAATGTTCCTACTCAAGAAAATTTCATAGGTTTGTCTTGAGAGACAGTAGGCTACTGTCTCGAGAGACAAACCTTTGAATTTTTCTTGTCTGAGAAATTCTCACAGAAAAATATTGAATCTGCACAGAAACACCAAGAGGGTCAAAACATGACTAGAAAAAACATTAATTGAGTACAGCATACAATTAACATGCAAAAATACATTGATACATTAATTTTATGTGAGATGCTGTAAATAAAAATGAAGAATAATAACATTGTATGATTGTACATTTTCCATTTTTTTAACTGCAAATCTGCCCTTATACAATAGTAAAAATGTAATTGTAAATAAACAATTATACGAAGAATTTAGTTTTGATGCAATAGGCCTACCTTTGATTTCTTTTCTTTCTTTTCCAGAACCTTTTGTAGTCTCTTGCGTTGTTTATTGCTCAGTTTCTTGGGCAAGTTTCCCTCTTGTTGTCTCTTCTTCTTGTTCGTCTCCTTCTTTGAAGGAAGAACCAACGCATTGCTGTGCATCCATTCGGACTGAGTGTCTCCGCCTTCCGTATCTTGCGACTGTTTGTCAACAGACGACAGGTCGAGTTCAACACACGGGACGCTGTGCGCTTTACGAATGTCTGTATCGTCCACAACTTGTCTCCCTCTCTTGTTAAAATTCCGCTTCGTCCGCCCCATTTTGCAAGAGTTCCTTATAAATCGTGTGATCAAGAACAGAAATTCATAACTGCGATAACTTTTTAGAGAAGAAAGCGACAGATCGGGTAGATTATTTGATGAGCATTTTCGTATTCCTTAACGCACATGTGTTGATGCCCTGCAACACCTAAAACAATTCCGCATTCAATAACCTTTGACCTTAAATAAAATAGTTCATATTTATTTGAAATAATCAATCTAAAGTAAAGGCAACTTACAAATCTCATTTAAAATACTTATTATTATGTAGTTTATACTTTTTCGCTCAATGTTTACATTTAAACTAATTATATTTCTTTTTTATTGATAAATAGTTATTCTTCCGCGTGTGAAGGGTCTTCGTGTCCAAATCAAAATGGCAGCGCCCATGGATGAAGACGACGTTGACATTATCGACGATGAGCATTTAAATGCTATGCTTGTATTCCCTCCAGATGTACAACAAGCGATCGAACAAGTTAGTAAATATCGGAAACTACATTGCCTTTCATCAAGATGTTTTTTGGGTTGCGATAGCTTGCTGATTGTGTTATGAATAAATGTAATACCTGCATCCATTTCAATTTGATTAGGCCTACTGTGCATTGTTAATGGGGGGGGGGGGGCGTATTAAAAAAAGGCAGTGTATATTTTGCCGGAGACGGCAAACCTTTAGTAAACGTTAGTTTGCCGGATATGCACTGAACATGCGCAGTTACTGTTTTTTTGTACTTAAACATTTTCCGGTGACAAGTTTTAGTCTGGCTCCATGCCAAAATTATCGTTGTTACCTCGTATTCACAAGATGGGATTCAGACCATTTTATAATTTCGGACTTTATTTCCCTTTTAAAAAAAATCCTCCAGAGCCACAAATCTGAAAAAGAAAATGTAATACTCTGCAAAAAATGTTTGAGACATGTTAAAATAATAAAAGAAGAATATTCTTATTTATTTGGGGATGAGAAAAAAACCTTAAAAATGTGGTGCGGTCGGAATCGAACGCGAGTCATCCCGCTCACTAGAGCCTTTGCTTAACCATTACCTGATTACACCAAACGTGGTACACAACTTTTAGTGGGAATTTAATACATCTTATAATTCAGCCCTATTTTAAAGAGTACAGCGCCCTCTGTTGATATGGATTGCCGCCGGCAAACCTTTAGTAATCGTTAGTTTGCCGTCATTACATCCGGCAAAATATCCTCTATCTTAAAAAAATTTATAAAGTGGGGCAGTTATTGGTCGGTTTCTGGTTAAGAAAACTTGTAGTATTCCAACGTTACTTTTTTATGTTAAGATAGTTGAAATGTGTCGACAAACACAATATCGTTAAATTTTGTCATGGCTAAATTGTGTAAAAATGATTCCAATGAATTGTTACAAAAAATGCGTACAAAAAAATGCTTTAAAAACTGTAATACAGACATTACATAATTGTTAATCAACAAAGGGATGCCATATATTATTTCTGGTTAAGTCAAGCATATATGTCATTGTTAAATGTAAAGTAAAGCATTTTTGGACGAAAGAGGTTTTAGGGTCATTGTGTTTAAATGGTGATATATAGGCCTACTGTCATTGACTTTGAACGGATTGAGCAATTTAAGTAATTTTTTTGATCTAAAAGCAGTTTATGAAATTGGCTTTCCAGTCATTGTTATTTTTGATGCTACAAATTTTTTTAAATATGAAACAATAAAATATTTTTGGGAGTTTGGGTTCCGCTTGACTCACCCTGTATAGCCACGTTTACGGGTCTAATGTAAAGTATGATTGTGCATATTAACAGCATCGTTTTCCTTTGTTACGTGCTCAGGTGCTTCCTTCCAATGATCCACTCGACAGACCAGACTTCAATGCTGTTGAGTATATCAACAACCTGTTTCCAACTGAGCAATCCCTAGCGAACATTGATGATGTCATCAACAGGATGAGGCTAAAGATCCATCGTCTTGATGACAACATCCGCGGTGTGGTTCGGGGACAGACAAATGCTGGTCAAGATGGACGACAGGTGACCCATTGAATCAGAAGAAATTCTTATGAAATTCTTATAATCTTTGATTGATCATAGCAAGGAGCAGACTGGGACCTTGAGTCCAGAAAAAACATGCAAAACAAAATCAGGTTAACTGTACTCACTCTTTAGCTTACAAAATTCTCCAAAATGTTCATGAGGCAAAGACAATATCCTCAGTATTTCACCAGCCAAGTTTGAAGTCTCAATTCCATTTTTAAAGGAGACTTTTCTTCAACATTTTGCACCTGAGAGTGAAGCCAAGTGATTTCAATTTGAAGCCTAAGACTAGACTGGTACATGTCCAACTTTTTTGAGAAGATTGACCCTTCAGTCGTCTGGTAGCATGACCATAATGTGTAGAGATACAGACTAGGTACCAGATGTTTCTTTTGACACAGTTGATTGATGCAGTACTAAAGGGATGTTGGACTGGTTGTTTCGTGTGCCAGTCTATTTTCTTGTAATTGCATGTTGTACATGTACTACTTTGGGAGTCTCATACACAGTATTGAGAGTCCCTTATGTTCGGACTGAGCAAGGGCATGATTGGTGGATTAGTACTATTGCCTGATCGTACAGAAATGTATTTGCACAATTGGCAGATCCTGTAGGAAATCTCAGACTTAACTTGCTTTTTTCAAAGTTACCTGAGCCGTCAATTAGAAAGAAAAGGTGATTGACCAATGGCAGCAAGATCAACCAGTAGCGCAGTGCAATTGACTGATAGCGTAGCACGATGTGGCAATAACCAGATCCACTGATTGAACCCAATGTATATTATCTGGAATTAATATTATTATTGTTCCCATTACTTCAAATTAATCTTTCGGTACAAAGTTTATGGGAATTGGTGTAAATGTGAATTAGTAAAGATACTGTGCTATTGCATACAAAACCACCCCCAAAAAAAGAATTATAAGATGGAATGAAAGAAAAAAAAGAGAGAATTTATTACATTGTTGTTGATTTTGTAGAAATGGTTAAAAAAAACTATTACACACTTATTTTAGAAAGGTAGCCATATTATAACTTTTATAATCTCATATCTGATATAACATATTAGGCATTTTCAGGCATGATAATTATCACTCAGTTGCTGAATTTTAAGAGGAATGTGAACTGACTGTTGTTGATTTGTGTTTGACTGAAAGGCGCTATCTGAGGCACAGAAGGCCATCCAGGAACTGTTCAAGAGAATCAAAGACATCAAGGAGAAGGCTGAAAAGTCAGAACAGATGGTAAAGACAATTGACATTTCCCGTATTTCTTCCATAAATTTCCAGGTGATGGTGCAGTTTAGGGCCCTAAAGGCAATGAAATTCCACTTTGAGGTTGTTGGGCTTGCCTAAATAGCTGGCGATGTTAAAAACCAACAGGATTGTTGGTTTATATAAAGGGCATCAAACCTTCTAGTATACATATATAGACTGGTGATGAAGTCACTAATGCACCTCTATGCGCATCGAGGGACTGTGAGTGACCAGAAGAGGGTCCTATCCCAATAGGACCCTCTTTTGGTCATTTACAAGACCGAGGGGGGCATACATGTAGACGTGCACTATTGACCGAATTAGAAATGTATGTCAGTCCATATGTGTTTTAAAACACACCTCTGCCCAAAATACAAAATAAGAAAAGAACTTTTGAGCTTTTATAATTGAACTGTTTTAACTCAACAATTAACTCATAAGCAATTCAACAATAAGCAATTCAACAATTAAAAAAATGCTTTTAGTTTGCATAGATTCAGTTTTTGAATATAGGAATATTAACCACACATCCAGAAAAGTTGTAGTTTACAGTTTTTGGTTGCTATTCACATCATGATGAGAAAGAAAGTTCACAGGTTTCAGAGGAGATGGCGCTAGTTTATTCTGAACGTTCTCCTCTTTTGGTATAATGAGGGTGCTGTTACCAGTGAAAAAATAGTCTATTAAGCAGCATTTTCTGCTTACCACCTCCATTAAGTTAGCATTGTTTACATAGAGTTTCCTGAACTTAGGGTTGTGATTGGTTTGTTTGATTGGTAGGTCAAGGAGATCACACGAGACATCAAACAGCTGGATCACGCTAAGAGACACCTGACGTCGTCAATCACCACCCTGAACCACCTGCATATGCTGGTGGGTGGCGTGGACTCACTGGAGTAAGTTATTCATCACCTGGTTTGATGGAATTTAGTGACTGACCGGTGTTAATTTAAATGTTTGGGCTATGCCCGCCACACACATGTGTTATAAGCACTGTATAGTCATTGATGTCCGGAGGCTTGCAAGGAATATTCACAAGCCAACTCAAGCAGGACTTGAACCCCGACCTCCTACTAGTGAGTGCACACATCTTAAACACCTGACCACGAATTGCCTTGTACTCGTACTCATGACAAAGTACTCATACTCACACTGGTACTCATGGAAATGTACTCGACTACAATACTGCTTCTTTTTCAATTTTTCGAATTGTTGATAAGTTGTAATTATTAAGTAAAATTCATCAGCAGCCTTTATGATTTTCCCCCATCCAAATGGAAACAATTATTGAAATTTGAAACCAATCCGCTTGTCATTTGTTCCCCCTTCCCTTCCTTGATTGTCACTTCCAGAGAGAGCACACTCAACTCAGTGACGCTAAATCACCCTTGAGGATTGTTTTATGCAAACATGTGTTATGCGACTCATTTATTTTTGTCCTTTTTTTCCAGATCCCTGACAAGACGTAGACAGTACGGCGAAGTAGCTAACCTCTTACAAGGTGTCATCAATGTCATGGAACACTTCCAGAAATACATGAGTATTCCACAAATAAGACAACTCGCTGACAAGTAAGACTGATTCTAAAGACTACATTTGTAAATCACCTTTTAGCTCTGAAATTGTGGAACAGTTACAGACTCTTATGGGTTATTTTTCTTCAAAAAGACTTCTGTTTCACTTCTTTTTCTTTTCTGATTTCCAACAGAGTGAAGAAAATCCAGTCAGAATTAGGCACTCAGATCCTTGCTGATTTTGAGGATGCATTCACAACACAAGGAGGCAAGGTAAACCATATCAAAATATAAACCACGGTTAGTTTGCAAATGTAGGATCAATGTTTCTTCATCGGGACATTGAAAGAGACGCATTCTGTTACTTGATTCTGTTCTTTTTCCTACAGTTACTAAGCAACCAGTCACAACTTGCTGAAGCCTGCTTAGTCGTCAATGTGCTGGATCCCAAAGTCAAGTAAGATTTTTCTATCATTCATAATTTTTTCACAATACAAATCATGAGGAAGTGTATGGCATTTAGTTCACACAACATTTATTCTGAATATTCACAAAGCCATAACGTCTTCGCATGGGCTTTAGAGGTCGTCAGCAGTGTGTTCAAATGTCCCTCTCAGTGGTCTCGCCCAACTCTCCCTTCGTAACCATTGAGGGGGTACTTGTACATGAAGTCCATACAGCAATAGGTCTACAATCAATGAAGCTTTATCGACAGTCAAGTTTGTGTCACCTTAAGTTTGCTCAATATAAGTTTTTAATTTTCCACTTTCAGGAGAGACCTACTCAAGTTCTTCGTCAAGCTGCAACTCCAGGAGTACGTGGTGCTCTTCGGCGAGAACCAAGACGTGGCCTGGCTAGACAAGATCGACCGACGCTACGCCTGGCTCAAGAGGGCACTGGTCGAATGCGAGGAGAAGTTTGGCCGCATGTTCCCACGCGACTGGGACATTGAAGAACGGATATGTGTGGAGTTCTGCAATATCACAAGGTAAAAGCCTTTGAGGGGAAAGAAATTTTAATAGGCCTGAAACATTGTGACAGTTTTTTTTACGTGTACACTTTCTTATGGGAGTCAGGTGAAGATGAGAGACTCCGAGCTGCCATAAGAAAGTAAAGTCTGTCCCGAGCCAATGTGGCTCATCAGGCCGGCGTTCATATCCGGTTTCAGTAGCATGAAACGACTGAGAATATTTCTACTCCCCCTGGATGGGATGCTAGTCCATCGCAGGATTACTCCCCAGCTAATGCTGGTACCCATTTATACTCCTGGGTGGAGAGAGGCAAGTGGGGGTGAAGTGGCTTGCCCAAGGACACAACAGATGATCAGCAGCTGGACCCTCTGATCATGAGTCCCGAACACTAACCACTAGGCCACACTCCCCTATAAGAAAGCCATAAGAAAGCACATGTAAATGAAGCTTGACATTACTATTGGAATTAAATGAAATATATAACTTTTAGATACAAAAATTTAAATTTTGTAAGGAGGAAAATAAATTGACTATGTCATCACATCCTGTTTGGCTTTATCAGGTCTGAACTGAGTAAGATCATGCAGAACCGCTCCTCAGAAATCGACGTCAAACTCCTACTCTTTGCCATCAAGCGAACCACGACCTTTGAAACCTTGGTTGCCAAGAGGTACAGGGGGGCCACCCTCAGACCCCCCGGCGGGGAGGAGGGGCCATCCCCCTACCCTCCTGCCAAGATTGACTCCCCTGAGATGCCTACTAACCCCTTTGAGACTGATGAGAGCACAGAGCAACCAGTCGAAATAAAGGTCAAGTATTTCTTAATTTTTAATTCTTTCTGGTAATTAACCCTCCTAGTGGGAAGTCAGTATTCAGAGCATTTAAAACCCTGCAGTTCAGTTTCAGGTGAAGGGATATGAATTTTGCAATTTTTTTTCACCACTTGGGAAGCAATAAGATACTGATAAAAAAAGGTGAGACAAACATTTGTCAATTCGAGAACGCACATTTTTCGCAGTTGTGTTACGTATGCACAGCACGAGTTGAGGATTTGAAAAGAGAATCGGTAATGATTTGTAAGCTAGCTGATCAGGGGTAATAATTTAATACCTTCAACATATTCATTTGATGAGTACATAAAACCAGTGATTTCTGAGTCTTTATTTTTGTATTTTTTTTTCCAACCTTGACAGACCGTTCTGAAACCCAAGCCGTCGCCATTCCAAGGAATTATCAGCAAGTGCTTTGAGCCACATCTTCACATTTACATCGAATCTCAAGACAGGTAAGAAATATAGTCCTCATTCTACCCAACGAAGAGCCTGTATTTTCTCATTTGTTTGAACAAAAAAAGATCGCAAAGGTTGTCATATATGACCAATTTGTAAAATCACCTTAATTTTAAAGAATCACGTTGATCAAATACAAAATTCTGTTATGCAACTCCTTTTGAAAAAAAACAAGGACTTTTCGAAGAGTTTTTGGTGTTAAACTTTCATACTTGTTTTGAAATCTCATGAAATTTGTCTTTTAAATTGTGTACCCTCAAAAAATAATAGTTGAAGACTAAAGTAACATTTGCTTGTTTGACTACTTGTGAAATGTTGTGTTATTTAAGTAAATCTTTTACAAAAGTATAGATCAATAGCGCTCATTGCTTGGTGGAATTGAAACTGACTTTGAAATTGGTTTTCCATCTCTAACAAACACCATCCTGTGCAAAAAAATGACTCTTCCTAGCTGTCAATCAAATAGGGTGCATTGACCAATCAGATCACAGCTGATGTCATGTCACACACCATGATGGCATTAGTCTGGTGCTGCTGCTTTAAAAAAAAACATGTGTAGGCAATAAGTCAAGACTCCATGCGAACAGCTAAAGTGGATTTTTCCCATCGCGTTACCACTACAGCTTTTACTACAAACATTTTAGTCATTCTGAACCAATTGAATAGAAATTTGTTTACTCTGGGAATAACTTCACTACGCCTGCGTTTTCTGGGAATAACTTCACTACGCCTGCGTTTTCTTGGGTTTTTTTTTTCTTCTTTTAGATATCTCTCCGAGCTAATCCAGCAGTTCGTGGCTGATTTCCACTCCCACGGCCCTCCTCGTATGGAATCAGACGAGAGCGGCGCGATCCTCCCAAGCAGCGCCGATCTCTTCGTCGCTTACAAGAACTGTATGGTGCAGTGCTCCAACCTGAGCACCGGTACCCCGCTACTGTCCCTGACTGCTACATTCCAGAAGTACCTGAGGGAGTATGCGAACCGGTTGCTGACCAACAACTTGCCAAAGTGAGCTGATGGGAGGGGCGGGGCAAGACTTGGTCTTGTTTAGGAGGGGGTGTAAAGGTCTTCTTTTTTTCTGAACTGCAAGAACATTGGCTAAAAAAGGTTATGTACCTGGTCAAAGTAGCTCACTCCCCCCCCCCCCCCCAAAAAAAAAACCCCACCAATTACATTTTGACCATATTACAGTTTCATCTTTGACATTACATTTCATCCGAAAATTTGTTTTCCTTGATATTTTGTCAGTTTTTGAAGATTAAAATCTGTATGAATTAAAGGAGCACATCCCTCTTTTGTAGCTAGACAATGTAGCCAGGCAATTCTTGTACCTTTTTTGGGAATGAAAATTTGTGCACAGACTTTAATACAAATAGAAAATACATTTAGGGGTTAATTTTAATACTTTGTGTACTAATCATGCAAACTTTTACTTATCAAAAACATTTTTTTTTGAGCTAAAATGCGAGGGGATGTGTATTGATTGCTATGGGCTAGTTCTCTGATTATTTTTAGTCAGAACATAACTTTTGACAAGGTAGGTACATGTAGGTATTGAATTCTGGGGGTGATTTTTATGACAATTCTGTCTCTCAGTGTCTTTAACTTTGCCAAATCAGTGACGTTCCTACTCGCTCAAAAAGTAGGCTATGACAAGCACATCAAAATTAGGAATTACTTCATATTGCTCCCAGGTTACAATAGATATTTCTTAAAACTCTGTCATTTTCAATTGTATGATTCTAATTGGAAATATTTTCACCTCCCAAACTCATCATCATCAAAATCATCCCTCTTTATGGACATCTTTTCCCATCCAACAAATTTTCCAAAACCACAATCGGCCGCTTAATTTCCCCCTACCGCAAACCCACCACATATAGCCTTTACGCCCGTCACAGGTCTCAATCGGTACAGGGCAGTAGTACCTCCGGAGCCATGGGGATCAACATCTCGGCGTTGCTGAAGGAAGGATTGAAGGATAGTACACCAGAGATCACAAAGTTTACTAAGGAAGAACAGTACTTGGTCTGCAGTATCCTGTGCACGGCAGAGTATTGTCTGGACACAACTTCACAGGTAGGACGTTTGTTTATTGCCGATTATTTGGATTGTGTTCTGAATCTTTCTTTTGTTTTGTTGCGTGGCAGACTTTGACAAAGCACAAGATGCATGGTAATATACCCCCCCCCCCCCCAGTCGTCAACACTTCACAACCCTGCCGGTGTTTCAGAATAATTTTTGCTAATAGTGTAGCGTCCACACTTCAAATTCCTTTGAGGCTATCTTCTGTGGAGTAAGGATAACACTTCAAATCCCTGCACAATTCTTGTGTGTGGTTAAGCTCACGGCAAGCAGGCAGATATAGTCACGCTTCACTGCTCTCCACAGTGCTGTTTTTGGTGCAGTGACTCTCTGTGTGACACAGTTACTTTAACACTTCATATCCCTTCGCCTCAAACTGACCTGCAGGGTGATCAATGGTTTTACATGTTGTTCTGATACTTGACTTCCCACCAGAAAGGTTTTTATACAGATGAAATCGAAGATATGAAGTGCCTCCATGTTGTTGAAGCATTTTGGGGGGTTTGCCAATTGTTCTTATTTCCATTGTTTTTTGCTGGCTTCCCTATTTGTTATGATATTGCCTTGTTTGGTTTTTCAAATTCTTTTTTCTTTTTGCGTGACGATGTTCAGATGATTTTATTCACCGTATTAGTCCTCACATCCAGCTTATTAGCTGATGAAATGCAGAAAATAAAGTGCATGAAGAATTCACAATAGTAAAAGCAATATTACATTGAAACTTTTGTATTATTATTATTATTATTGCAGTTAGAGGAAAAGCTGAAACAAAAGGTGGACCCGACGCTATTGGACAAGATCAAGCTGAATAGTGAAATGGACGTCTTTCATGGGTATGAAGATTGCCCTTGAAATACATTCAGTGTACCAACTACGTGACATGTTGACTTGTTCTCCCTTAAGGGAGTAAACCCTATTGGTCACAGGAACATTGAGTGTCTGTGTGACGTGCATGTGAGTGTGGCACACATGCAGTCCGACAGGGATAAGGTCTCAATAGGGACTGCCCATGATGTTGTAATCAAGTCCATCACAAGACAAGTCACATGTCAGGCCACAGGCAACAGGGGATGAACAATGACAAAGGAATGTCTTTGATTAGAGTTGGCTTTAGAATGGGTTACTTGTGATGACTTGTGATGACTTGTGATTGCCTTGTGATTGACTTGTGATGACTTGTGATTTACTTGTAATGGACTAATGATGACTTGTCACGACTTGTGATTGACTTATGATCGACTTGTGATTGACTTATGATTGACTTGTGATTGACTTATGATGGACTTGTAATTGACTTATGATCGACTTGTGATTGACTTATGATTGACTCGTGATTGACTTGTGATCGACCTGTGATTGACTTGTGATGACTTGTGATACTTGTGATAGCTCGATAACAAGTTGGATTTGAATCGAGCACAACTAACAAAAAGCAAACAAAACACCACTGACTGCCCTTACCTGATGTCAACCAAAGTTGATCGACATTGTTACAGCTTAATTGACATGATTGTTTTGTTTGATATCCAACAGTGTGATTGCTAACTGCATCCAACTATTAGTGCAAGATTTAGAGTCAGCATGCGACCCAGCCCTCACTGCTATGAACAAAGTAAGATTATCATTCCTTCGTAAACTGCACTACAGAAAAATGCTAAGTAAATTTACATGCTAAGCAGAGAGTCGGCTGTGATCCAGTTATGAACAGTACATGTTAAATTATTGGCGGTAGTCCACCATTTTTGAGCCAGTCTCCTGACGACAGACAGAGTATACTGTCCCGAACTTTGAGTTATCCCGGTTCTTTTCCAGTGTTGTAGTACTCGTACTCGGTACTCGTACTCGAGTGCTACTCGAGTACTTTTTTTGGAGTACTTGTACTCGTACTCGAATGTCAAAGTACTCGTACTCGAAATGACAGTACTCGTACTCGATCATCAAAGTACTCGTACTCGAATAGCAGTACTATTTTATTGATACTTTTAGTTGGAAATGGTTGATTGTCTTGCAGAGAAATCACAGTTTCCAATTTTTTCTCTGTGCACGTCCGAACAAACAGATGTAACAGCTAGCCATGAGTGGGTCTGTATATCGGTCTGACTGGGCCTGGGCCAATTACGCACAATAAACCATTTGCCGTATCGTCATATTTGGAAATAGAAGTACTCGTACTCTGAATACAAGTACTCGTGCTCGGAGACCTGTACCTGTACTGGGAAGTACTCGTACTCGTACTCGGTAACCTAAGTACTCGGCAGTACTCTGTACTCGGAAAAAAAGTACTCGACTACAACACTGTTCTTTCCAGAACCTCACAAACTCACAGAGATTTGTTCTGTGGCGCAACTCAATCAAAGAAATTTTTTTTGTCTCAATGTATTGATAAGGTGAACTGGGCAGCGATAGAGACGGTAGGGGATCAGAGTAGCTACGTCACTGCCATCACCACTCACATCAAGCAGACCTTACCGACGATCAGGGACAACCTAGCATCGGCCAGGAAATACTTCACACAATTCTGCATCAAGTTTGCCAAGTCAGTATCCTGGGAAAAGTATTGCACTAGAACAAACAGGAGAAGAAGGGGACATTTTTCACTTGGTAGTTTTTACATGAAGTAGGAAGCACATAATTTCCCTGATATATCAATCAGTTGGATTATACAGATATTTTGTAGGTGCAAAAAGGTTTGTTGTTCCTATAAAATTACATCATGTAAGATCCAGTTAAAAGGCCAATATACTCAAAAGTAGCTTTGGCAATTTAAGAGTCATTTTGTTGAGTTAATTGGGTCACGTTAATATAGATGGGAGGTTTCAAATACTTGTACTTTTAGTTCTGAACTCTTTTGCTTGTCAAATATAAATGTACCTTTGGAGTTGATTCTCGTTTGAAGTGAAAATAGTCCTAACGTTTTTTGGGGCTTCACTTCTTTACAGAACTTTGGTTTGAATTTGCTTAGCTTATTAATATTTTGTTTTCATAATTCAATCCACATTTTCATCATTATTGAGCAGTTTTCTGCAGGTTGTAAGGCTGTGTCAGAATGACTTGGCTATGGCTAAGTACACATGCGCCTATGGAAGCGATTGAAGCCCCTTCCCATAGACATGTGTGTTACTCCAAGTCACAGCCAATAATTTTGACGCAGTCTTAACTTCTCTGATAATGATTTGTATTGCAGCTCATTCATTCCGCGCTTCGTCAGTCACATGTGCAAGTGTAAGCCAATCAGCACGGTCGGTGCAGAGCAGCTTCTGCTAGACACACACTCCTTGAAGACAGTGCTCCTAGACCTGCCGTCCATCGGTTCTAAAGTCTCTAGGAAGGCTCCTGCTAGGTGAGTCGGGGTACAAGACCATAACAAAATCACAGCCATAGATCAAGGCTCCGATACCTACTGTCCATCAAGCTCCGTCAATCGGTTCCAAAGGGTCTAGGAAGGCTCCCGCCAGGTGGGTCAGGATACTAGACTATCCAAATTGTCAGCCATCTTGGGTCTAGTAGCTCTTTTTCATGGGTTCCAAAGTCTAGGAAGGCTCCTGCTAGGTGAGTCTGGGTACCAGACCATATACACTGGCAGCCATCCTGAGATCCAGAATGAGACTCATGTGCAATATTGGCTGGTGCCTGTGTTATTGATGTGTCAGGAACAATGACCCAAATGAACACGGACTGTTTCACTTGCAATCCTCCTTTACATGCTAAGCTGGAAGCCATTTTCCTCTAGTGTTTATATTTATGGTAGCTCAATGTGTCTTTTTTCCACCAGCTACACAAAGATCGTCGTGAAGGGAATGACCAAGGCAGAAATGATACTCAAGGTAATAATTCCACGTTTCTTCACCCAATTCTTTGTTTTTTTATTTACCCATCAACCTATATTCTCATAAACACTACACAACACCATCCCTAAACATGAAATCAGTACTCGTTTTCTATTTCTAAACCTAAAAAACTGGACTTCTACCACAAGCATTCCCTCAGTGGTTACAAAGGGAGAGTTGGGGGAGACCACTGGGAGGGACATTTGAAGGCATTGCTGACAGTGCATGATGCTCTCGCTAAGATGCTGTATGAGTTTGTTTCTGCATTCAGTAGGGGACGTTAAACAATAGAGGACAATGGGGTCCACAATTCCCGAAAGGTCCCCAATTGACGATCATGTACAAAACATATGGGAGGTCTTCATAAAAAGTTAGCACAAACAAACTTGGACAATAGGGGGTCCACAATTGCAGGTAAAGACACACTTGTCTGGGTTTGTGCACGTTCAGTACCAAACAAGTCATGCACACTATGTGCTATACATGTACATGCATGGTCCAGTACACACATACGGTAGTGTGTCTCTCCCACTGGGCTTTCAAAGGTTGTCAGACAGCGCCACCTACTGAGCCAATACTTTATCATATTTGCAGTTGACAAGTATGATTAGAACAGTGAACTTATTCATTGTAACAACTGCCTAATTTTTGTGATTTTTTTTTCTTTTCAGGTGGTTATGTCTCCAGCGGACCCGCCACAATCCTTCGTAGACAATTACATCAAACTCATTGCTGACAGGGACACGGCAAACTTCCAGAAAGTTCTGGACATGAAGGTCAGTCATAACCTCATTTTCAGTATGGAAGTGATCATAGGTTGCAGATTTGATTAAAAGGCCATTTTAGCGATTTTTGATAAGAATTATTGTTAATCATAAATGGACTGAAATTACATGTAATGTATTTTTACATTCCGTAGCAGAGGGCATACAAGCAAAACAAGTAGAATGTTTATAGAGACAAGTTGTTTAAGTTGTTGTTTATGTTGTTGTTTTACTTCTTTGTATCAATTGCAGAGTTTAAAGCGGAGCGATCAGAACACCATGCTGGAGTTATTCAGAACCAGAGTACCAAGAGCCGAGGGGCAAACCAGCTCACCGTCAGCCCACCAAGAACAGGAGGGGAGCAGGATACGAAGACTGGAGAAACTGATCAAGAGAAGATAATACAGGGACACATACGGTGATACACACACAAGGGGACAGTGTCAGACAGACCTAGGGGAATCAGTAACCCAAGGGATATGAAGATTAGAAACACTTATCAAGAGAAGATAATACAGGGACACATACAGTGATACACACACAGGGGGACAGTGTCAGACAGATCTCCGGGAATTGGTAACCCAAGGGATATGAAGATCAGAAAACTGATCAAGAGAAGATAGAACAGTGACAGTAGAACATAACCACCCTTCTCCGTTGGAACCCCTCAGTCTCCTGACAATGGGCAGAGCATGCTGTCCAAAATGTTGAGTTTCCCCGATTTCCTACAGAATCTCACAAACTCACAAAAGAGATGTTTTACATGGTACAACTATAAATGTAATCTTATAGTTATCTTTACCATGCAAACATTCAATCCTTATGACTGCAAAAATTTATCGAGGGAAGTTAGAACTGTGATAGATATGCTGACGGACACACAGAGGGACAGTGTGAGAGAAAGATTGGGAAAGCCACGGAAGGGTTCTGTAGCGATATCACCACCAGCCTGATAAGATCTTGGCTACAACTCATCATGCTGGTTAGCAGCCAATTGTTCCAGCAAATATAGGTTCGTACATTGGTTTTTACAGAAAGTTTAATTGCAAGCCAGTCACAGCAATTTGACACTTTTTGGTGACATACTTTTGCTAACAAATTCTGCAAGTTCTAGGAAACTCTTCCCACAAAAACAGGAACGATCCTGTAGGATAAATGTATTCGTAGAAAGTAATAATGTCAAATAGAATCCTTTGTATCTGACGTCACATGTGAGGACAGCTGGGCCCAATTTCATAGAGCTGCTTAAGCAGAAAATTTGCTTAAGCACGAAAAAAACATTGCTTAGTAAAATTAGGTTACCGGCCAAAACTCCATGTGATGTACATTGCTTGTGACTGGTATTTAGCTGTTGTTTACTTAGCATAACAATCGCATGGAGTTTGGCCGGTAACCTGATTTTATTAAGCAAGACGTTTTTGTGCTTGAGCAAATTTTGTGCTTAAGCAGCTCTATGAAATTGGCCCCTGGTCTTGTATCTGTGATACACATGAATGGACGCATTGTAATATCATTTATCCTCACTGACTGGCAGCTATAGCACCACGAAAGGGGTCTAGTATTAGGGATTAATTTTTTAAGATTTTCATTTTTGAGAAGCAAAGAACAATGGAATGTAAATATTCAGTCCACGTGGAAGAGGTCACAGTCATAAGCAAAAGGTCAAATTGGTGAAAAGGGGGAAAATAACTGGCAAAATCATTCATGTGTAAATGGTGTTGGGGCCTAGTGTATTGTGTATATAGTTCCAGTTGAAATTAAATTAAATTTATTGTAAGTTTATCTATTAGGTACACATATAGTGCTCATCAAATACTTGTACTTGACTTATGATATAGAATGGTATAAAATTGTCTTAAAATGGTCATAGCCAGAAGTTATGTACACTGTATGGTGTAGAATGGAAAGTCTTGACATGTGTTGTATTGAATCATGTGCAAATAAATGACACATTTAAGAATACATAATTTGCTGTTGTGTGCTATTTCATTTTCACATGGACGTGGGTCATTTGGTCGCTGTGTGACATAAAATTGGGCTCATCTGATCTTTGAAGCTTTACCCCTTGTTAACTTCATCTGACATACTACTTTCACCGATTCATTAGGTTAGAGCTATTTACTCCCTACCTCAAGTATAAATCAAATTAGGTTTTGCCCTTCACCGACGTTTAAACACTGTATACTCAGTGTGTTACCTCCCGATTGAAAGTTTAAAAAAATCACTCGGGTGGGACTCAAACCCACGACCTCCTGCTTTCTAGTGTAGATGTCTTACCACTGGACCACCGAGCTAACAGCTCAGTAACACACCGAGTATACAGTGTTTAAACATCGGTAAAGGGCAAACCCTTATTTGATTTATATCACCCCGACGCAAAATTCCATCTTAAGATACCTCAAGTATAGTTTCTTTTTTCACAAATTGTGTCAAAATATTACAAGGGGTCAAACACACCCATACTAATTTTGGTGTGAAACTAGTCTTTTGTGATATGCAGAACGCATAAACAATGTACACCCTCTGCTTTAGTTTTACTAAATGGGAATTGTTCTGTGGTCACATGTGACATTTAGTAATTAAGTTTATGCTAATTTATGTACGGAAAGACCAACCATTGAAACATGTTAAGAAATTTGCATCTTTACTTACTAGCAACACTTAAAAAAAAACCATTTTTTTCCCCCCCAAATTACTTTAGTTTCAATTTCTGAAGAATCGACCATAGGCTATGAATTCAGTCCTTTTGTCTACGCATGAAACTACAGAAATGGACAGAAAGTTCCATTGTTGTTTTACGATGTTAAAATGAGCATAATTTGCTGCATGTGATTTTCAGTCCAAGTAAATTGCGTCTTATTCACACAATGGCAAAATGTTTGGAAAGGATTTCAAAAGTGTTTGTTCTAAGAGAGTTTGCAAATTCACAGTTCTGGCTCCCATTTGTATTTACAAACTGTAACATACAAAAATCAAAAGGAAAAGACAACCACACGCTGTGTTCAGGAATTTGCAATGCTGTACACGATCAATTTTATTGCAATGAACATTCCAATAAATGCTACAATTTAAATGCAAATAAAACTGGTGCCGTTTTTCAAGTATTCTGGGTCCCTAAAGTTTGACAATTTTAATTTTTCAGCAAAGTTTGACAAAGCTGTTGCAGAAATAATATACAGAGTTAATATACGTATTAACCACACGTCAAGACCTTGTGCATAAATACCAAGTTTTATCTCGTGGCAACCAACACACCAAGTATACTAAGATCTTTGAATTTCTTAAAAATTGTGGAGTCAAATCAAAGTTAAGCTCAATGACGGACAAACAAACGGGGTAGGGACATAAACTAAACTTCACTGTTTTGGGGGCGCTGTTGACAGCACCAAATGCTGTATGCATAGTTCCTCCATTGATATAAAACCAGCATCGCAAGCAGATAAAACCGGTACAAACTGAAACAGAAAAGGGCATGTGAGGACACCTTATAAAAACCCCTTAACACCGGGCTGCCAACTTTGAGTAAGAGCTGAGAGTGAGAATTTGGCGATGGAGCTTGATCAGAACTAATCATAAAAGGACTGAATGGGCCAACCAGTATAAAGAAGAAATCAATCAATAAAAAAATTTAAAATACCAGCGTGAAGCCATAACAGCGTGGGTTGGGGGCCTGCTTAAGGGCCCTGACAAATTTTGGATACTAGATGCTCTGTGGTGCTATCGGAGGCAATTTCTGACCACTTTAACCAATTTATTTTTAGCAAAAAATCATTATTTAAACATCATTTTCGAGATATATTTATGTTGTTTTTTAGCCTGAGAAATCCCGTGCACGAGTGAAAGCGTGAGAACCTGAAATGCATGAGTCTCATGCTCAATGCATGAGAGTTGGCAGCCCTGCTTAATATCCCCACCCCTTCAAATGCCACGCCCTTCCCAAACCCCACCCCAACCCAACCCCCCAGTTGACAAAAACCACATGCCAAATGGCCATCAAAGTATTGTCACTTCTTGCTAGAGTTCTCGTGATACTTCTATCATACTAATATCAACTAATGAGAGAAAATTAACCAACACATTTTTGCTGGCCAGCCTAGTGTCTTCCTATGTACCGTTCCCCCTGATTGTCTGACTGACTGACCCCCCGACCCACTGACTCCCCAACCCACTGACTCCCTGACCCACTGACTCCCCGACCCACTGACTCCCCGACCCACTGACTCCCCGACCCACTGACTCACCGACCCACTGACCCCCCGACCCACTGACTCCCCGACCCACTGACCCCCCGACCCACTGACCCCCCGACCCACTGACTCCCCGACCCACTGACTCCCCGACCCACTGACTCCCCGACCCACTGACTCCCCGACCCACTGACCCCCCGACCCACTGACTCCCCGACCCACTGACCCCCCGACCCACTGACCCCCCAACCCACTGACTCCCCGACCCCCCAAACGACTGACTCCCTGACCGACTGACTGACTTACTCCCCCTAGTGAGTCATATACTGCTATCGTATAGGATTATCTCATAATGCCAATGAATGGGCTAAATACGGCCCATTGTGTAGTCCAGATGCATGACAAGACTTCCAGTAAATAGCCATTCTGAACCCAATGAAGACAATTTTGTGCACTCTGGGACTTCTATGCTTCCTTTATACGTCTTTTTCTCAATGTAATTTTTTTTAAATGCAACATTCTACAAACCTTGGTACATTTAATAAATATATATGATGATGGCAAGATTTTAGACTAACGTTAATTGTATGCTAACTGATTAGATTTGATTAGATTTGAAGTTTTATTGTCCCTCACATTGGTAATTAAACTGGCCTTGATGGGTTACAGAAAAACACTACAATCAGTAATTAAAATAAAGCAATTAAAAAGATGTAAAAACCTTTCACACTAACACTGAACTGATGAGCACAGATGATTAAAAAAATCTGCCCCAGTTGTAGGAGTTTTGATCTGTGACAATTAACAGGCAATGATTTGAACCTCATGTACACTGATTAACATCGGTCCAATGTGTGGAATCTTACACCAAATAGAAACCCACACGTACAACATAATCATAGCTCAGCTTGTGTATAATGTGAGTTCATGTACCGTAGAAAAAGAGAATAAAGTAGTTAATTGCTGTGTGCACGTAGAGCTATATTAAATTACTAGAGCGCTAACTCCTCATTCTTCCGCGCGGAGACGCTTTGAAGCCGCTCTGGGCGCAGACATTTTGAGTTTATGTGCGTGTTTGTAGAACACAATCAAATTGAATTGAATTTTAAGTGTATTCTAAATGCAACGCGCAAGTAGAAGATACGAAGCGCGTCATGACGGTTCAAAAAACTTCAAGGCGAAAAGCATCTGCAGCAGAGGGACGCGGACACGTTGTGCTGTTTGCGTAGAGCAAAATGAAACGCTCATTTGCTGATCGTGCGCTTCGGTTTTGGGCGTATCGGCTTCGATGACGCACCAGTATGGAATACAAACGCAGATATGCAACTAGTCGTACAAAATTTCGAGTTTTTCATAGGTTTGTGCACAAACATGGATGCGCCCATCAGGCATTACTTTGTACGCTCTAGTAATTTAATATAGCTCTATGTGTGTATATTGTCAGCTGACAATGGTACATGTATACCTTTATGTGTTCGGTCGGTGAAACTACAAGTGTCAACAGTTGAAACCAATTTCATGTCGCTGCTAAGCTTTTTCTGCTTAGTACATTTACATGCTAAGCAAAAATCTGCAGAGTACCGGCACAGATAATACACGTTACAATTTGGTCGGTAATCAGCTTCTGCTGAGCAAATTTTTTTTTTGTGCTTATAGTAAATTATGCTGATCAGTTTTATGTCATTTTTAATAGATAATTTCATGACTTTTCGTCGTTTTTTTCTTATCCAAAAAATACAATCACTAGTTCCTGTCTCTGTTCCTCAAATACGTAATTGAAAAATCTTTTCTTTAAATCCTTTTAAATATCAGACACTTCGTAAACTAAAAGAAAGTAACAGGTATCATATCTGAATGTTTTATGATCGAGCCATTTTTGGATGATGAGCCGAATTTGAATATCTCACTCTCCCAACAATCAATGAACTACTGTATGGGTTACGTGCTTAACAATATGTACATTCTTATCTACAAATTTACAACAAAAATTGCCACTTGTTCTAAAAGAAAAAAATTCTTAGCAGCAAGGCATAATATGATATATGTAAAAGCTTAAAGTGCCTCACATAAATATGCATACTTCAAAATGCTTAATGATCATAAAAGCTGACTTTGCTCTTAAACAAATGCCATGGTTTATATAGCGTGCAGGGTTGCTTGGGAAAAGTAAACCTTGTACGAAGCTTTATGAGCAGTGCCATATGCACACTGACTCTAAATGATCAAATGTTCATCTCTTTATAACCAAAAACAAATTAAACAGAATAAAAAGTGAATAGAGTTCCAACAAGGTTTCCATTTTTTTACAATTCAAAAATGAAGCTTTGATGGAGCAAATTATTGCTGATTAAATCGTTTTTACCAAATATTAATGGAAGTGATTTTTTTCTTATTTTTGTACTTTATACTAGAGGTGCTTTCACTGAGGTGTATTAGAAAAAACGACTTCATTTTTCAGATTTAGCTTCATATCCGGCTTAACCTTACATCATGAGAGCAGAACATGAATCCACATTGAGCCAGAACCTTAAGTCGAGCCAAGGTTTTGAAAACACCTTGAGTTACTCCCTTCATGCATGTCTTGGCCCTCTTGTGGCGAGAAAGTAAAAAGTGTCTGCTCAAGGGTGATATTTACCCGGTATCCACCTATTCACAATGCAATGATTGATGGAGTTATGTGTGTGAACCAGTTAAATGCCACCTCTAGCTGAAGTTCATGATTGCAAAGTATAGATGAATGTTCTTCACATGATTGTAAAAGTCCATGTTTCTCAACATGATTCCTCCGTTCTTAACCACAAAACCTAGAGTTAAACAAAGTCAATTACAAGTCAGACCATAACTGTGGTCATAAATTACACAGTTGTCACTTGAGACTGGAGGACTTGCAATTGACTTGTGAGGAATTGATTTCAGCTTTGAAAAAAAAATAACTTAAAGAACACTTCACCATGCAAGGTCTTGTGACATAGCTTGTGAGTTGACACTAAAAGTTCTTACTCTCCGGCAAAACATTTCAAATACATTAACTACCAAGGTGAAATTCCATTTGGGCTTTTCAATGTATGTTATATTTTTTGTTGTTATATTTTTGACAAAAATGACAAGGACAGTAGAGGCTTTGCCAAAAAAATGACTTCTAGCTTGCCCCAGAAGGGTGATCAACAATCTTTACTCTGAAGACCAGAAAAACCTTAAACTTGATGGTGAGTGATAAATGCTGCCCTCAAGCGTGTGTGCGCAGGGCATATACCAGGGGGTAGGTCAGTCCTTCAGGCAATCCTCAGTCACTCCTTGAGAAGCCAGCTCTGATAGAACGTTGTCAAAGTAGTTAGGATCTGGGAAGCCGTGACCCGTCACGTTGGAACCAAACTCTGTCTTGTGATGGATCTCGTTCCAGACCACTGTGCTGGATTCGCTGGTGGTGGCCGACGTACCGATGGTGAAGAGGAGACGACGTTCCCAGGCTATGATCAGGAGTTTTAAGATCTGGTTGGAAAAGGGAATTTGAAATAAAATCAGTATTGTCTAGAATGTACATTGCAGAATCCATTAAAAAACCTCAAGAAACTGACTAAATCTAAAGGCGTAATCATTTGCATTTATCCTAAAAGTTTTCTGTCATTTTATAGAAGAAATCAAGAAGTGGTGGTGATTGCCAACAATCAATCAAGTGACTGCTGTTTGCAAAAAAGAGAGTGCTATTGGACGAAATCGTGTTACATGATCCAAAGACTGTGGATTTTTTTTTGTCACAGTTTTCCTGAAAAGTATAATATTCAAAAGGTTTGGTTTTGAACATTTATCTTTGGATTTTGAGTGGTGTTATAATTGGAAATGTACAAAATGAGTGAAGAGCAAATGATTAATATATGTCTGAACGAAGAACGAAGACTAGTTAGGAAAACTGAAGGAGATGTAAATACTATAAGTGGACATACCTTTCTCCCGATCTCGTTATCTGGGAGGTAGCAGTGCCTAGGGAACCCACGGGCCGAGTACCGCTTGCCTGGGTTCGGATGCTCAGCTCCCTACAACACAAAGCATACAATCACAAAGGTTTCAATTATCATTGTCTTATTGCTTGAGTCCATTTGCTGTTGTATAACACTGCATAATTTACATGGTATTTATTCCTTGAAGAATACAAAATAGACATACATGTAGCTCTGGGGCAGTTTTGGGCAGTTTATTAATAATTAGCAGGGCGCTTTGGGGCGGAACAGGGTTACATGAAGGGATATGATTTAATTTTTCTGTAAGGGCTGGTTTTGTTGAATTCTTTTTTCAAAGAAATGAGATAAATGTATACAATATTACAAGTTTTATATCTTCTGGTCACTAATAATATTAGTGACCAGAAGATATAAAACTTGTTATATTGTATACAATATTATTTGTACATGTTTATTTCAGGTAATTTCAGTTAGCAGCAGTTTTATTCATCTTCATGTTAACAGACTTCTAAAGATTGTTACTTTGTAACTTGAATTTAAAACAGACTCATCGTCAATTGTATTTATTGGTTACTACTTCTTTTGAAAATAGCCCTTTAGATATTGTCTGGGAATAAATAGTGTTCCCTTCCACCACACTTTAATATCAAATTTCAATAATGATGTATATTTGTAGACTGATCATTTGTCTTATGTGTCAAACCTTTGACCCTACATTGGTTTACTGTGCTGCCAATAAGTGTTTGTCTGTGTACTAGAGTTTTATGATTACATACTATGCACGTAGACGAAATGGTCAAAGTGTCAAACATCATGCATGCCATTGGCTGATTTTGGTAAGGTAAACAAATCGACCTATGTCTCGTGATTCTACATGATGCAAATCTTAGAATCCTAAAAATAACGAGGGGAGTATCCACAGCGCTTTCTTTTTGCAGCCTTGTTTAAAAGCACAGATTCTGCCTAAAGTTAATGCAGTATAACTTCTGTAACAGACAACACCTAGAGAACTGAAAGCTTACTTTAAGGGTATCCTGAACTTCTGAAGGTTAGTCTTTTTATACTGCAAAACATGCAGGTTATTTTTCAGGGAGTAATGTACATGTACCTGTATAAAAGTTATTGGACATCTACATGTACCTTGTATCACTGACATACATTTTCAATCAATATGTGAGATGAAATTTCAGATGTGTTAGAAAATTCAACTTGATTTTCTAAATCTGGGGTATAAAGCATTTTATTGTTGGTGATGTATCAAAAGTTTTGCTGGTATTGGTGTTAGTTTTGGTGTTGCATGGCGTTAGTTTTGGGTGCCGATGGTGTCAGTTTTGGGTGGCAATGGTGTTAGTGTTGGTGTTAGTGTTAATGATGGTGTCAATGCTGTCAGTTTTGGGTGGTGATGGTGTTATTGTTGGTGTTGGTAATGGTCTCGCTTTTGGGTGGCTTGTTAGTCTAGGTTGTTTGGTGTCGGTAATTGATGGATTTGATCATTTATAGTGTTGATGTTGAGGTCCGTCATGTGTCTGTGTTGGTAATGGTGTAGATGGTTGTGCTAGGGATGCTGTCAAACAGTGTCAATGTCACTGTTGATAATGGAGACTGCAGACATTTGTTTGTAGTTGTCTGATCATAAATCTCGATCTTACTTTCAACTGAAAGAGTTTTACGATTAAATCAACCACCAACAATATTAGTAGTCTATGAAGACAAAGTACATGAGCTTTGTAGTGTAAATTATTCAGTCATCATGTGTCACGAAGCATCCCAGCAACTCATGGCTGTTTAATTCATATTTCGTTTCCTTCACAGATCTTCAGGGATTTCTTCTGATTCCTCATTAAGAATGGCGACTGGCGGTGCATCTGAGGTGAAGGGTAAGATTAGTGAGAATGCCCTGCAATGCTCCATCTGTTCCAACCGTTTCACTGAGCCCAAATTTCTTGACTGTTTGCATACGTTTTGCTTCCACTGTCTCCAAAACCTCAGACAGGTTCAAGATCCCCAAGGCATGAAACTGAAATGTCCCCTGTGTAGACATGAAACAATCCTGGGAAGAAACGGAGTTGAAGATTTGCCTACTAATCTCACTCTGAGTGCCTTAGTGGAGGAGTTTACAATACAAGAACAGCTTCTAGAAGGTCAAGGGTCAGAAATCAAATGTCAAAGCTGTGATGAGGACAATCCGGCAATCTCATTTTGCATGGAATGCCCACATTTCCTGTGTCAGAATTGCGAAAGTACACATGAATGTCTTCCGGCAACAAAATTTCACAAAACCTACACGATGGCTCAACTGAAAGCGGGAGAGGTCAGCTATAAGAGTAGAGTAAGAAAAGAATTAAAGTGTGGCAAACATCCAGATCAGAATCTTAACATTTACTGCAAGTCATGTCAGCAGTTAATGTGCATTACGTGCTCTGTTTTGGAACATGAAAAACACTCTCATGCCGACATGTCTGAGGTTTTCAGCCAATGCAAGGAAGCAATTGAAGAACTGATAGGAAAGGTTGAAAAGAAGAAAATAGCACTGAGCAATGCCAACAAAAACACAGGAAAGTCCCGCAACAAACTTGACAGCATGTTTGAAACCACCAACACGAAGATCTCCCAAAAGGCTGACAAGGAGATTGCTAGGATCAGGGAGATGGAGCAGAAACTGAAGAAGAATTCAAGGAGATCTATGAAGACAAAATCAAAATTTTGGAGACCACAGAAGATGCGAATGATGCAGAACTGACCGTAGCAGAGCACACCACAGATAAGATGAACCAACTCCTCGCTCATGAAATCAAGACAGAGATTATAGATCTCAAACCAAAACTTGTGCACAACTTCAGAGAACTAACTGAGAAAAAGCCAGAGAATGTGCCTGACAAGTTGCACTTCATTGACTTTCATGAGGGTGATGGGAAGACACTTGGAAGAATGGTTCTAGAAGATACGTGGAGACTGAAGAAAACAATAAACCACAGAGTTGACTCTGTTGCAAGCTTCTCCGATCATGGAATAGTCAAAGTTAACGGCAACCAGTTGGTGTACTATACACCAACTCATTTACCAAACAGCAACCCCCAATCCCCCTTCTTCGTACGGGAGCTACAAATACCCGATGTGAGACACCCATGCCAAGTTGCAGTCAACTGATTGGACCAGCTCATTGTACTTGATGGTCTCATTGTCAAGACCTTCAGCAGAGAATATCAGCTTCTCCATCACTTCCAGCCGGGACTGGACTCCAACAGCAAACAACCTGCCTGGCGGTGGACGACAACAATCAGATAGCAGTGGGCTACCAGGTATGCATGTCATGTAAACATGTTTAGGATTTTAACAACACACAATCAACTGTCTCTTGCTAAACTAACACAACGTAAGCAATTAGTTCTGGGTCATGTTTTTAATATGCCGAGGGACAAATTCAGTACTCAGTGCCTCTCCTTTGTGCAACTGCAGTGTACTGGGGTAAGCTACATTCTTTGTAAAGTCTTGGGTAAAGGTACAGAGTGAGTCAAAAAATGTGAGACAGGTTTTAGGGCCATTGTGTTTAAATGGCGATATTCTCTGAACAGATTGACCAATTTTAGTAATTTTTTTCATTTAAAAGTAGCTTATGAAATTGGCTTTCCAGTCATTATTATTTTTGGTACTACATATTTTTTTTAAATATGAAATACAATTGTTGGGGTATGGGTTCCACTTTTTTTGACTCACCCTGTATGTTATAAATGATTGTAAAATATAAATATGGATTCCCATTTTTGCTACCATCACCAGGCCAAGCAAGAGATCAGCCTGCACAAGCCAGACGGATCCCTCCTCAAGACACTACCCGCACCGATGATTGCAGATCAACTAGTCATCAGCAGTGAAAGGTTCATCTATGTCAATTGCAACGAGAAGAAAATGGTATCCAAGAATTATAACACCGACAGCGAGGTGATGGTGGACATAAGCAGCCCCAGGAGCGTATGCTGTGACAGTCAAGGCAACGTCTATGTCGCTAATGACATCAAACAGTCACGGTTAAACTACACAACGGACATTCGTGTCTTCAGTCCACAAGACAAGTACATTGGGCGCATCATCCAGCACTGTACTCCTCATCCACAATGCATGGCATTCACAGCTGAAGGTGATCTGATGGTAGGTGGATCAGACTCACTGCAAATCTACCAACGTGTGTAAAGACTTGACTCAATCCAAAAGAAATCCAGAAATATTGAAAGACAACAAATCAATCTATGTGGCCTGTAACAGAACCATGTAGGCTCCTTTGTCAATGTTTGTCATAAATAACAACAAAGTAATTTAGATGATGCATGAATATATTAACAAAACAATCTGACGTGTGAAACCCCTTTTTATTACAATTACACGTATTATTACTATTTCTGGCACAAAATGCAATCTTAATCACTTTCTCACACGTGGTGAAACTAGTGCAAATGGACAAAACTACAGGTGCAAAAATAATGAGTTTTGGTGAAGAGGCAAACATGAACTTGTTTCATGAATGTGTGGGGCATGAGGTACGTGATCTCACATTTTACATAGCCATGTTGAAATCAACATGAAACTACCATACACTACACTGGATCCCATCAAGTACAGGAAGCCAAGGCATACCGCCAAGGCATTCAACTATACCATGTTCCAACTGACCCCATAGGTGGGGTCAGTTGGAACACCTAAGATGATTGTGTTCAAGGTGGATTACATGTATAGTAACCATCAACAAGCCCAAGAATTTATAGGCTGTATATAAATTTGTAATGCGCATCTATCATTTGTGACATACACATTAACTGGTATAATTATTGTTTTTTGAATTAAATCTGTTCGGGTTTTATAGACGTTTTTGTAAAAATTGTTCTGAATAAACCCTACCTCCCCTTACATTTTTAAACAGACTACAAGAGAGAAGAACAGAATCAGCCATTTTTGCAAAAGTTCTTAATTTTTTCATAAGTCCCATTTTAATCGTTCGTAAAACAGTCATAATGCATACTGGTAGTTAATTTCCCCTCCCCCTTTTCCACCCTTGTTTTGTTTATGGCTAGTCCCAGAGGGGC